GCAGGAACTCCCGGTTCCGGGTCACCTAATCTCTGTGATAGCCTCTGACTGGCTATCACAGTGATCAATCACTGTGAACTCCATCCCATTGTATCTTTCTCTTTCCTTGCCGATAGCAAAAAACTGTGTGTAAAAGAAAAAAAAAAGAAAAAAAAAAATTATATATATATTGTGACAGTATGAACGGTGAGGTGACCAATGGATGTTATGTGTCCCCTCGCATTCGGTCATACTTGGGAGTTTAAGGTGAAATCCACTCCAGGTTTTCTGGCCACTGTGGCAAAGGTGGTTCAGGACCTGATTTTGTGCTCCACTGATGACAACCAGCAGGTGCTATAAATAAGGCAGGGCTGGAGCAAGGAGCTGCTCGTGGCCTGGGACTCAGAGAGCTATTTCTGAGAGTGCTGTGCATGAAAGTGCTTGTTATACAAACAAGAGAAAAGGTTTGCTTATTGTTTTGGTTGGTGACAGGGAGAAGCCCTTCACCAGCGAGAGAGGGAAAGCTTCCATGTTTAGTTAGTGCCTGGATGGCAAGGATTTATTTTGTGTTTTGTTTGGTTATGATATTTTGCAACCTTTAATAAAACTGACGACCAGTCAGATTTTAAAGAAAGCCTGCTGTGTGGTCTACCTTTTTCCCAGGGAAGGTGATCCCCCCACCTGAGCTAACCCCACAATATATAAAAAAAAAACCCTAGATTAAGGTTTGATCTAGGTCAGTGCCAAGGTTAGTGTTTAGTTCAAGTAAGGGTCAAAGGTCAGGGTCCATGATTTCTTTTGAGCAGGATTTAATTTTTTTTAAGTTAGTAACAGTGAGTTTTAGGTAGGATTAAAAAAAAAAAAGCAAATTATTGCACTATTGTTTCTGGGCTCTACTACGGGTACATACAACAACTAACATACACATGTGTGGTATTGCTGTGATCATCATAAAATTATTTTGGTTTGTTGTTTGGTGGTAGGTTATGGTAGTAACAAGAAATATACATCTAAATTAAAAAAAAATTCTATTTTGGGCTAGATTTCCTTTGATGATGAAAAAAAATAAAAAAAATCAGGAGATATCCATTACCATTTATCGCCAAATGAAAGCCCAATTTGTCCTGAAAAAAACAAGGTATAATCAGTCTGGATGTAGAAAGTAGTTGTGATGATATGTAGATGTCAAAGTTGCAAAATTGTGGTTTAGGCAGGAACAGCTGGGTTAAAGAATTAAGGGATCGACCCAATGTTTATGAACAGCTCACTCAAACCAGGAATTTACTTCTGTGAAATCATCACTAACCCACGGTGCTCTAGAAATGCACAGATGTCAAAGTTGCAAAATTGTGCTTAGGCATTAACATTTGTTTTACCCTTAGGCAGGAAGGGGTTAAAGAAGTTAAGGGATCGACCCAATGTTTATGATTCTCAAACCAGGAATTTACTTCTGTGAAATCACTAACCCACGGTGCTCTAGAAATCCTTTGTGATCTTTCATTATATCTATATAAATATAGTGAAATAAAACAAAGCATTAGTTTAAACATTTATAAAAATTTTGGTTCAAACTATTAAAGTTACCTTTTAACTCCAGCTAGCTGCTGTCTGTTTCTTTTTTTCATGTGAGATTGTGCACCATGAAGCTGTTCCTCCATTTTGCAGTGTAAGTCATCCTTGAGTGAACTTTTGTTTCAAATCAGAATAAGCACCTTTAAGTCATAGAGATGAAGGAAAGAGCTTCTGTTCATATAAAATATCCAACCCTGTGCAAGGGTGTAAAAAAAAAATGGAAATGTAGCCTGTAAATGCATATAAATCCACATGCAGAAGTGTAATTACCTGAAACCATAACGCTGTTTAAGGACTTGTTCACACCACGGTGCAGAGACATCAGTTTTTCTGCACACGTTCTGCAGGGGTACAAAGTAGTCAATTGTTCTCTATGTCCCCTGTTCACACTGCAACACTAGTATCACATGCAGATTTTTTCTGAGAAGGAATCTGCAATGTGTATTAAACTCATTGAAGTGTGCATGAAAACAGATGTAAACTGAGGTCTCTACAAGTGAAATCTGCATGTCAGTTTCCACCAGTTTTTCTTCATGTATGGTGTGAATGAGGCCTAAATATAAAAAGAGTAGCTAAACTATTCTGGTCTTCTCCTCTCATGCAAAATAAGATCACAACATCTCCTCATTATTAATTTTATTTTATATTTGAGGGATTTTTTTATGTGGATCAGATCATTCTACCATACCTCCTCTACCCTTTTGTTATCTCACTGTAATTTGAACCAACTCCCTTGGCTTACTACAGTATACCCATGGCAATACAATGAGAAACTTTATTTGTAAACTTCTTTCAGATTTATTTGTTCCTAATGTTCTAGTTGCTGCATCTATGTTAATGAAAAATAAACAATATCCAGACTATCCAGAATTGCATTATGTACAATGTTTGAGGTCATCACTGCTATGATGTAAATTACTGTTGACCTACCCCAGCACATTAAAAAGCTGTTGTTTGTTTGTCAACATTATTAATAAACTGGGCTCTGATATTGTTTCTTTTGTGCTATTCACAAGCAGTGACATTTGATCTGCTGTGCTCCCTAAAAATTATGGCAGATTAAAATGAAGACATCTCTGTGAAATGTAATCTTTTGCTACACACTGGCAGCTTTTGATTATTTCATTGTGTTACATTTGGCCCTCGGTAAAATAAAAAGTATAATCAGTTCATAAATAATACAATGTAATTAAATAGAGAGGAGCCAGATGGTTCTGAAATGTGCCCATTTCATGTCTAGTCCAATAGACTAGACAATTTTACATTAAATGGCATGCTGTGGTTATGCTTGATATTTACATAGTTTATACTTTAATGCTGTAACTTTGGTCAAAAATTGATATTCTTCTATTCAGCTATTTTGTAAAAGGTATACATTTTGTATAAGCTGAGAAAAACTCAGCTCAGTTGAGCAACAGCCCTGATTAAGTTAAATGTATATACAGTATACACTAAGTGTATCTACACAGGTGTTCAAAGATGCATGGGGCAGATAAAAGTTGATTTCATTTTATGATTTTTTACTGAAGCTTGTAGATTATGGCAACATCCAGGTACTTTTAGCATGTTGGCTACAGTTAGACACAGTTCAATTATTTGTGGGAGGGAAGGGGTTGGAAAAAGAAAATGTATGTATGTAATGTTTTATAACTTTTAAATGAAAGAAATGATTAATAAAAATGATTTGAAACAAAAAATGAAAGATAAAACTGGAAGTCCACAGTTGTCTAGCATGATCCTCTATCTTACCCACTCTGTACATCTCTATATCTTGTACCATTTAATAAACTAAGGCAGAAGTTTTCCACTGTCTGTTGTAGGGTTAATCCTTCATATTCCTGATTCTTATTTGCAGATGGGAAGTAGTAGAGTTGTAATTAGTGACCGAACCATAGGTGTACGCAGCCTATTACATTAGGGTGTGCAGCCCAAAGCTCAAAAAACACATGCATGTGTGCCTGTGTGTTTATATATACAGTATATAAACCTTGACAATTGTCCATAATCACCTGTTTATTGAATAAACCCCATTTTTGATGATCTAAAGGCTAAGCTGGTAAGGTAAGATGTTGCAGTGATAATACCTGCACTGCATCTACATCAACAACTTGGAAGGGAAAAGGATCTGGGATTCACACCCCATCATCATTTTCTTATCTCTTTGCAGAAGTCTTGTGATACTGGCTTCCCAACCAATCAGGGAGCTTGGTGCATGGTCAAGAAAGAGGAAGACAGCAGTGCTGTTGTATGAATACAAATGGTTTAACCCTTTCGCTGCCAGAGCTGTTTTATTTTAATTTTTTTCACACACTGTAAAAATAATTTTAGGCCTGAAGATTACACAAAACCTCCAAACATTATATATTTTCTGAAAGCAGACACCCTAGAGAATAAAATAGTGGTAGTTCCAAATTTTTATGTTACACAATACTATTGCAAAGGTCTAGGAAACCTAAAATCTCAGTAAAAATCACACTAAAGTGAATTTTAGGGTAAACAAATGCAATAAATTACCCAATGTTTTTGTACAATATAAAAAACAAGGTTATACAGAGTAAATAGATACCCAACATGCCAAATTTTAAATGTGTGTTCACCTATGAAATGGCGGCAAAGTTCAGTACCCTATATTTTCTATAGATGACGCTTCAAAAGCTCCTATAGGTCAACAGTTTAGTGTTACGGAGGAGGTATGGTGCTAGAATTATTACTCTCACTCCGGCATGCATGGCGATATGTAACATGTGCATCGCAAATGACATTACCATAGGTATGCACCCCAACGTGTGCATATACATTCATACGTATGTGGGGGGGGGGTGTCAACATTTTTTGGGGGGGATATTATGTGCTTGGGTGTAAATGTATTTATTTTTTTTATTTAACTTTTTTTCTCATCGCATAGGGGACACAAAGTCCCCTATGTGATCTTTTTTTGTGATGGTTCTCTTTATTGAGACATGCAGGGTCTAAAAAACCCTGCATGTCTCCTCTGTGATCCATTAGATGTATTGCAATGCAAATTGCATTGCAATACAACTTTCCCCAGCTAGCAAACATAAAATGATCCTGCGCTTGGGGATGGACTCAATGCAGGCTACAACCACATTAAGAATGTTCTGGAACATGCACACCTTGCTGCCCTCAAATAGTTCGGAGGAATCTAAATATACTGAATGAGGAAAGAATGAGGCGCACAGGCCTAGTGCATTACCATAAAAAATGTTTAATAAGAAATAAAGTAGGTGTTGTACTCACAAATGACAATAAGGTCAAAGCACGTCATAAAAGAACAGAATTTGGAAACTCGGGCACTGCCCGAGGGCCCGGGGTCAGTAAGGGGCCCCATGAGATGCCCCTGGTACCTTTTTCATAGGCTTTTTTGAGTTTGGGCAAGGACACAGGGGCCCCATGATTCCCTTTTGCCCGGGGGCCCCATGAGTTGTCAGTCTGCCCCTGGTCAACGCCATGCTGAGTAACAGCCCGCAATAGGGAGCGTTGCGTCAGCCTATTGGATGTCTACACTCCCTTTTGCGGACTGTTACTCAGTACGGTGTTGACCCAGATGTTCTTTTATGACGTGCCTTGACTTTGTCATTTGTGAATACTACACCTACTTTATTTCTTATTAAACATTGTTTATGGTACTGCACTAGGCCTGTGCACCTTCTGTTTGTTCTTTCCTCATACAACTTTCCCCAGCTATTCTAGCCAGGAAAGTGAGAGCTGTGATCTGGAAGGGATGTCATGGACGTCAAGTTCCCTATGTGATAATTTTTTGGTGGCAGTTCTCTTTATTGAGACATGCAGGGTCTAAAAAACCCTGCATGTCTCATCTGTGATCCATTAGATGTATTGCAATGCAAACCACATTGCAATACATCTTTCCTCATATATTCTAGCAGGTAAAGTAAGAGCCGTGACCTGGAAGTGAAGTCATGGATGTCACCATCTAGGTCACACAAAGAAGGGGAGGGGCTCTCTCAGGGCTCACAGATGGGCAAGCCAAGCCTGTTTACATGGATGGAGGAAGTCCGGGGGAGCACCAGAACCAGGAGCTGTGGAAGCAATCAGTGGCAGCGGAGTCACCTGACTGCTTCCACCTGACAAGTAGGAGCCTCCCTGTCAGTTTTATACACAATCCCAGTGGCTGCAGACACTAGATTGTGTATAAAACCCCCTGCAGCAAAAAGGGTTAATAAAAGTTGTAAAACAACTCACACATTAAAAGCGATGTTGCACATGTCAAAGAATATCCTCTCTGTCTTAGCTAACTGGACCGCTGTGCTGCTGTGGGCAGTATTGTGAACCATCGCTCCACCGCTGTGGTGGATTTCAGGGCTCTAAGACTGGATGGAAGACACAGGAGCCGGCAGCTTATGATGTCTCCGGTAGGAGGAGAGCTTTAAATCTGACTGTGAAGTGGTGCGCTTGTAGGAAAGAAAAGTGAAAAGAAAAGCCTCAGTACAGAAAACTGAATACAACGTGAATTGCTGCTAAACTATGTTTAATGGCCATTTCATTCTACTTGCTAACAAAGTTGCAGGGATTCCCATTGGCATCCATACCAGATCTTTATCCTAAATAAGGGTCTGTATGAATTATAAGGGAGAACCCCATCTAAAAGCAAAGGAAAAGTCATGGGTTTGTTTCTAAAAATCTGTGCTAGACCTTTATTCTTGAGGGAGGTCTTGTATGGATTTTAAAGGGGACTTCAACATAGATGGAGTGCACTTCAGTGTGTTACCCTTGTGTAACCCTTTCACCGCTGGACCTGATAAAGTGGATTCATCTATGAGGTACATTGACCACAATTTTCTGCCTGTGAAATGTAACACCTACTATGATAAGCCTGTATACAAGTGGTCATTTGAGATACTCATGCAGTAATAAAACCCTTGTTGAAAATAAAATGAAACACACCAAAGGCATGATGACAGGTACTGGCATCTAGAACGTTAGAATTTTTGAAATCACACGACAAAGCAACAGGTTGCATATCCAGTTCTCTAGCAGTGAAAATGAATGATAGTGATAAGGATAACCTGAACATAACTGGGTTTGGCTCACAGGAGGTTCCCCAGCTGACAGCTGAATGGCTGGGCAGGGATACATCACAGGTAATGTTAGTCAGTGGGTGGCTGCTGTCTCTATAAGAAAAAACTCTAAACGGGTAACTGTCACATTTAGCCTTAGTAAGAATACTACTAAGTGATTCACTTCACATTGCAGACAGTTGCATTATGGGATGTGTTTTTGAATGTCCTTGAAGATTCAGAATATATCATACTCTGAAAATTTGGACCGGACATTGTTTTGCTTTGGTGTCTAGTAAGGTTACTTTGTGTTATAAGCAAGGAAGCTTAGACTTCTGTGGTATATTAATGTGCTTTTACTAAACTAAAATTCTGTACAAACAAGAAATTACAATTATAGGAATACAAGAGAAGACTGACAGATATACCTATATCAATCAAAATGCTACCTACTTCCTAGAAAAACTATGTTCTGTATACAATAGTAAAAGTTACTTAGCTCTGATTATAGAGGCTTCACAATCTACATAAGCAACACGGACCCCAGGAGTGCTCTAAAATGGTTGCAGGAGTTTGACCTAAAAGCGTATTCTGGCAAATATTTTTTTGGTGTTAAATCATCATAGAGTCCTCCTGTCAGCTTAACCCAACAACGTTTTATTTTGGGTTGCCAATCCCACATGGGTGTATCCTTTTCTACCTTATTATACTGTCATATGCAGGTAAAACACTCTCCATTTCACCCTCTAGATGGCACTGTTGTATCATACATGCCATAAGTCATGTAAGTCAAAAGGTCAAGCTATTGTTAACCATTAATTAACTTGACTTGTTGACTTCAGTTAAATGTGGAACAATAGAAGAGCCTAGCATACAATGGTATCTAAGTTCACATTGTTGTAGAACAGCTTGTGTAAGTGTTACAAAGGCATTTATTTGAGAAGTCCACTCCAACAAACGTTATGTCTGTTTCTAAGTCAAACATATTCTTATATATACAGTAAGTCTCAGAATAAAATCAGAAAAAAAAACACACATATACTGTGTGTATATATATATATATATATTGGGGGTTAGCTCAGGTTCGGGATCACCTTTCCTGAGAAAAAGGTAGTCCAGACAGCAGGGCTTGCTTAAAATCTGACTTGTACCCAGTTTTATTTCAAAGGTTGCATGCATCATAAACAAAGCAGGACAGAAAATAAACGCTTGCCATCCAGGCACTAACTAAACAGAGGAGATTCCTATCTCACCAGTAAAGGGCTTCTCCCTGTCACCAACAAAAACAAACTGGTATGCAAACCTTTTCCTTCCTTGTACAATGCAACCTTTCATCCACAGCTCACTCAAATATGGCTCTCTGAGTCTCAGGCCAAGAGCAACTTCTTGCTCCAGTCCTGTTTGATTTATACCATCTGCTGGTGGTCATCAGTAGACCACAACATCTGGTCTGGAACCAGCTCTGCCAAAGTGGCCTGAAAAACCACCTTAGTACCCAGATCTGAACGCATGTGAGGTGATACATAGCGTCCATTAATCACCTCTCCTTTCATAATGTCACTATATATATCAAACAAAATACAAACACGGGTTTGGGTTGAACCCAAAGGTTATTCCAAGTTCTTTTCATGCAGCAATAAAGCTAGGGTTTCCAATTGTAAGCCTTGATGACACAAAGTTAATATTGTCCTACATATATCAGTTTTCAATTGCCTAAGGTCTCCATGTAATGCTTTTACTAGTTTCTGAACTCACTTAGCTGGAACCTGTCTCAGATTTAATCAAGAGCCTACAGAAACATGTACATCATGGCCTCCACAACCAACATCAACAAAAACAATGGTCTGAAGCCTTTTCTCTCTATTCCATTCATTTTCTAAGCCTAACTTTCCATGATAATGCTAAGATTATTTTGCTGCCACATGAATGAGTCATTCAGCAGGAGATGTAAATATCAACAGTATATAATAAGTGGTGCCAGCACTCACTGCCTTCATTTTCCTTATAGTTATAATTTATCTCTGAGCAGTGGCCATGGCCAGTAGGGTCCATGTATGCTGTATGCCAGTAAACATTAGCAAACATGTATATGCATACAGCATAAAATGCAGTCCAAAGAACCATGACTGCATATTTTGCTAGCTTTGGTGTACCCTGCTGAACAGTGCAAACCAGAGCCAACTAGTGAACATGTACCCATAGCATACAATATTGCTGGATTTGGATTAGAATAAATTAGGAATCTGAATGCAGCAAAGTGTGCGTTCATGTACATGAGCCCTTAAAATGATTGTAAAGTCAGTAAGAAAAAAAAAATATATACTTACTTGCTCTGTGCAATGGAATTGCACAGAGTGGCCCTGATCCTCCTCTTCTCACATCCCCTGCTGGCACTCCTGGCTCCTCCCCTTCTAGGTGTGCTACCATAGGAAGCCACTTCTTATTGTGGCACACCCCAGAGGCTTCATTCCGAGCCATGCTGCATGCATCCAAAGACACAGATAAAGCAGCTCGACCTGGCCCGCCCACTGCCTTGTCCCAAGATTTGACTGACAGCAGCAGGAGCCAATGTTCCCGCTGCATCAGCAAAGCCTGTGAGAGTAGGGAGACCTGCTGCAGACAGGCACAGCTCTGGATCGAGTGAGGACTGTAAGTGGAGGACTGAGGGGGTGATACTGTTACCCAAAAATGTTTTACATTAATACAGGAAATACATTAAGGGCTTGTTCACACTTGACTAAACTCTTACCTAAAAGGCTCCTATAGCTTTAGTATAGGTGTTATATGGGCATTAATGAGCTTTAGCATGGGCGTTAGACAGGTGGTAATGAGCTTTAGAATGGCTTTTTACAAGCAATAAAAATGCTCCCCAAGCGCCCTATGTGCAGTTTTGAAGCATTTTATAAGCATTAAAACCACACCACAAACTAAATAAACTGTAATATTATTAACACTCCGCAATCACACCGCAAATGCCTTGCAAATGCCTGCCCGTGCATTTGAGAAGCGTCACCATAGACTTGAATGGGAAGCATTGAAAGGCTTCAAACTCCTCCCGATTCATCATGATGCTTCAATTTTGAATCAATGCGCTGCTAACGCTTCATGTTATGATAATGTGAACAGCACTGTGTGCTGTCCATAGTATCATTTGCATAGGCACTTGAGGAGCTTTACAAACGCCCCTCAAACACCTGATTTCAAAGCCAGTGTGAGCTAGACCCAAGGTTAACAATGCTTATGCTTTAGACCACTTTACAGTGCTTTTACTACTTGTATAGAATAAATAGTGTGCACAGTCTGCGCACAACTTAAATTTAAGTAAATCGGACTTCTTACCTTGTGTTAGATCACAAGCCCTGGTTTGTTTACTTTTGCTTGTCAAACTAAATTTAACAAATAATAATTTTATAAACATGTGTATGAATACGTACTTTTGTTAACTACTTACCCTCCTGAGGATTTACCCCCCTTCCTGACCAGGCCTCTTTTTGCTACTCGGCGCTGCACTAATTCACCTGATAATTGCACGGTCATGCAATGCACCCAAACAAAATTTACGTCCTTTTTTTCACACAAATAGAGCTTTCTTTTGGTGGTATTTGATCACCTGTGCGCTTTTTATTTTTCATGCTATAAACAAAAAAAGACGAAAACATTTTTTTTTTTTACACAAAGTTGTCATTTAAATGATTTATTTCTCGCACAAGCCATGGGTATATATAGAATTACACCCCAAAATATATTCTGCTACTTCTACCGAGTATGGTGATACCACGTGTGTGAGACTTTTTGGGAGCCTAGCCACATACAAGAGCTTAAAATCCAACCACTTTGAAAGACTGAAGGTGCGTAACTTCCTCATTACACTTCCTCACTACCTATCACAGTTTGAAGGCCCTGACATGCCAGGATAGCACCAACCCCCCCCCAAATGACCCCTTTCTGGAAAGTAGACACCCCAAGGAATTTAAAAAGAACCATGGTGAGTATTTTGCAGATCTCATTTTTTCTCACAAGGTTTTGAAATATAAAAAAAGACTAGAAAAAATATGTTTTTGTTTTTTTCTTCATTTGTGGAAAAAGGATGACACCAAGTCCCAAACTATCTTGCCACTGCTCCCCATGTAGTCTGGGCTCCACGTGACTATCTTTTCCCTCGTAAATCCGAAACTTATAAGTATAGCCTGTTGTCCTCTCACACGTCTTCTACATCTTGACCCCATATCTGGCACGCTTGCAGGGGAGAAATTGTTTGAATGCAAGGCGGCCAGAAAAATTAACGAGGGACTCATCAACGCAGATGTTTTGCTGGGGAGTATAGACATCTGCACATTTTTGGTTAAGGTGATTTGCGAGGGGCTGAATTTTGTGGAGCCGGTCAAATTCAGGGTTACCCCGAGGATGACAGAGTGTACTGTCGTTGAAATGCGTAAAACACATTATACTCTCATATCTTTGCCTGGCCATGGCAGCAGAGAACACATATGATGAATTGGGTCTGCGGACCAATAGAACCGCAATTAATTTTTTTTGGTAATGCCCTTGTTGAGGGTTAGGCCCCAAAAAAATGTAAATTCCAAAACCGTAATGAGTTTCAATGAGACTGGTCTGGCAAGGTTTGAATTTGGGTTGGCAATGATAAATTGTTGCGCATATAAATTGCTTTGATCCACAATCAACGCATACAGATATTCCGTGGAAAACAGCTCCAAAAATCAAGGGGAGTAGTTAAATTTGCTATGTGCACCTGAATTCCGGGTTGGGCAGTGAATGGGGGAAGTAGGGGTGCTTCACAATTTGTGGGCTGTCAATTGGGATTTGAAAGCACATCCGGAAGGATACTAGGAGCTCTACGGGCCTGTGTGTGAATTCTTTGTGGTTGCGGGACAATACTTGTGCTCGCCACCGCACCAGCTTGTACTGCACTTATGGGACTCACCATGTCGCCAAGTCATACTGCAGTGCTGGTATTATTATTATACAGGATTTGTGGTGCCAACAGTTTGCTCAGCACTACAATATAACGGGAGACAATACAGAACAATACAGTTCAATACAAGAGGGTTAGGAGGGCCTGATCCTGGGAGCTTACAATCTAAGAGATATGTGAAAGACCAGGATGTACTAGTACTCGCCAGTTCACCAAAAGGTAGCATGGCACTAGTACTGGCACTCTGCTGCATATGAGAGTCATCAAAATTTACTGAGAAGTGCTAACAGAGATCAGGCCTGATTCTGCAAACACTTCGGTTTTGTGTGTAATACATGTATATCGAGTGACAGTGACCTACTGACACTGCACTTGCTGGGGGAGAAGGGGGGGTAAGCATAGGGGCTAAATGCAGGTGCTGGCAGGTGTCGGGGCTGATCCCGCTAACGCTGTGTTATTGGGGACACTATACTAATGTGAACGCTGGTATAGTGCTGATCTGATCAAAGATATTGATCCGTTCAGATACTATACTAGCAATGGAGGTTTATTGTGCATGAGCGTGTTCCTGGCAATCAAGGGGTTAAATGTGATGACTGGTGTACTGACGGGCAATCTGACGCTATCTGGGAGGGATGTGAAAACCACGGGAGCGCAACTCACGTGTATATATATATATGTGATTTTGTGCACCCGTGCCACCCTGTAGCAGTATTTCTACTATAGGGCTGTCAGGAAGCGGTTACACAAGCGGTTTGTGTTATGTCGCTGCGTTACTTTAACTGACAATTGCGTGGTCATGCAACACTGCACCCAAATTAAATTTACGTCCTTTTTTCCCACAAATTGAGCTTTCTTTCGGTGGTCTTTGATCGCCTGTGCGGTTTTAATTTTTTGCGCTATAAAAAAATTTTGAGAAAAAAACAATATTTTGGACTTTTTGCTATAAAACTTGTCCAGTAAAAAAATTTAAAAATCAAATTTCGTCATAAATTTCAGCCAACATGTATTCTGCGACATGTCTTTGCTAAAAAAAATCCCAATACATGTAAATTAATTGGTTTACATGAAAGTTATAGCATTTACAAATGGCAAGAAAGATACTGGATTTTTAATTTTTTTTTATACTAATAATGGCAGCGATCAGCGACTTATGGCGGCGATCAGCGACTTATGGGGGTGATCAGCGTCTTATGGCAGGACTGTGGGACTGCGACGGACATTCTGACACTGGGGGGGACTGACTTGGGGTCACTGACATCCCCAGTGACACCAATACAGTGATCAGTGCAAAAAAAAAACACACTGACACTGTACTAATGGCACTGGGGAGGAAGGGGTTAACTTTTTAGGCAATGAAAGAGTTAACTGTGTGAGGGGAGTGTTTTACTAGGGGGCAGGGGGGTGTACTTCACAGGAACAGGCTGATCCCGAGAGATAAACTCCATTCTCAGGATCAGCGTGCTCGGAACTGACAGAGAGCAGAGCTGCAGTGTAAACACTGCAGCCATGCTGCTTGTCAGTGACTGCCGGTAATCACCGGGACCCGGCGGGTAATGACCGGCCAGGACCTTGTGATTGATATACGCGGCTGTGATCAGCGGCACAGGTATGGCGGTTGCGCGCCTCGCGTGTGACCCCTACCTGTTTTCCAGAATGACGTTTAAAACGTTGTTCTGCGCAGCGGTGGCGCCCTGCCACAGTGTAAACACTGTGGCTGGTCGGCAACCAGTTAATTAAGAGATTATTTAGAAACAGCATACATTAACCACTAGCCTACATGGCACTTACTCACCCCCGTCCTGCCCAGGGCAATTTCCATCTTTCAGCGCTGTTGCACTTTGAATGACAATTGCACGGTCATGTAACATTGTACTCATATGAAATTTTTATAATTTGTTTGTGACAGACAGAGCTTTATTTTGGTGGTATTTAATCACCTCTGGGTTTTTTATTTTTTCTTAAACAAACCAAAAACCACAGAAAATTTTGAAAAAAAAGTTTTTTCTTAGTTTTTGTTATAAAATTTTGTAAATAAGGGATTTTTCTCCTTCACTGATGTGCGCTAATGAGACTGCAGTGATGGGCATTGATAGGTGGCACTGATGAGGAGGCACTGGTAGGTGGCACTGATGGGCATCGACAGGCATCACTGATGGGCACTGAAAGGCAGCACTCATATATGGCACTGATGCACATTGATAGGTGGCACTGATGCACACTGATAGGTGGCACTGACTGGCACTGATAGGCGGCACTGGCTGGCACTGATAGGTGGCACTGATTGGCAGCACTGATAGGTGGCACTGACTGCCATTGATAGGTGGCACTGAAAGGAAGCTCAGATGGGCACTGATATGTGGCATTGATGTGGCACTGAAATGTGGCACTGATGGGCAATGGCAGGTGGCATGGATGAGCACTGACAGCTGGAACTGATGGACACTGACAGGTTGCGCTGCTGGGGCTACACAGATTATCAGGACACACTGATCATCAGTGCTCTGATGATCTGTGTTTATGTCCCCTCCGAGGAATGACGATTACCGGCTCTCCTCTCCTCAAGAGCTGTCAGCGTGACAGCTCGTGGGTAGAGAAATGCCGATAACCGGCATTTCCCTGTTTACATGTGAACAGCTTTGATTGGACACAGCTGATCACATGACCGAGCCGAAATCTTCGGCTCTTTCCGTGGATTGGTGATCCGCTGCGTCCGAGTGAGAATGAGAGAACCACCTTGCATCCGTCATATTACTATATGGCGGGCAGGGATACAGCTATCAAAAGTGCACTTGTCATTGGGCACTAAGCTAGGGCTATATTCACCCACAAAAACCTCAGTGGTTTTGTTGGTCCTTGTAAGCTTTAATTGTTGACTTCTGTAAAGGAAATTTACATGAACATTTACAAAGCATCCTAGAGGCAACCAGTCAATCTTGAAAATCTCAATGTCTCTGTATATAAACCACTACTTGACCTCTCTGTGGCTTTTTATACTGTTGACCATCCCCTCCTCCTCAAAAAGCTCCATTCTCTTGGCCTCCGAGAATCTGCTCTCTCCTGGTTCTCCTCCTACCTATCGCAGCGCTCCTTCAGTGTTAACTATAACTCTGTCTCCTCCTCTCCACTTCCTCTTTCTGTAGGAGTCCCTCAAGGTTCTGTCCTTGGACCCCTTCATTTCTCCATCTACACCTCCTCCCTTGGTCACCTGATAAACTCCCATGGCTTTAAGTACTATCTCTATGCTGTTCACACACAAATCTATCTTTCTATTGCTCACTTCATCCCTTCAGTCTTCTCTCGCATCCCTAACCTACTAAGTGACATATCGACATGGATGTCACTCCACTTCCTCAAACTCAATCTTTCTAAAACTGAGCTGATAATATTCCCTCCTGCTGGTGCCCCTCCCCTGACTCCTCCATCAAGATCAATAATACAACCATCAGTCCCTCCCCTCATGCTAAGGTACTAGGTGAAATCCTGGACTCCCATCTGTCTTTTCAGCCCTAAATCCAATCACTGTCCAAATCTTGTAGACTTCCTTCAAGATATGCCCCTTTTTTAACCACCGAAACCATTAAGCAACTTAATCACTCTCTTGTTATCTCTCACTTTGATTATTATAACTCCCTTCTCATTGGCCTACCTAATCGTAGGCTATCCCCTCTTCAGTCTATCATGAATGCTGCTGCCAGACTCATCCACCTTACCAACTGTTCCATGTCTGCCATCCCTCTCTGCCAATCCCTTCACTGGCTTTGCATTGCCAAATTCAAAACATTAACAATAACATAAAAAGCCATCCATTTAAAACTCTGCCACAATTACATCACCAATCTTGTCTCCAAATACCACCCAAACCGTCCTCTCCACTCCTCCCACGGGCTCTTGCTCTCTAGCTCCCTTGTCTCCTTCTCTCAGACACATCTCCAGGACTTCGCCAGAGCCTCCTCCAACCTCTGGAACTCTCTACCCCAATCTATCCAACTATTCCTTACTCTGCTCACTTTTAGGCAATCTCTGAAAACCTATATCTTCTGGGAAGCCTATCCTGCCTTCAGCTAATAACCAAATCGTCTATTTCTCCCATCAGTTCATCCCCCCACAGTTATTAACTTTTGTACCACTAACCCCTCCCTCTTAGATTGTAAGCTCCAAGGAGAAGGGCCCTCCTAACCCTCTTATATTGAATGGTATCATTGTTGTACTGTTTCCCTTTATATTGTAAAGCTCTGAGCAAACTGTTGGTGCTATATAAATCCTGTATAATAATAATATAACCTTTTGACACTAATTTTCTTAGTGTGGATGGCAATAGCCTTAGAATGGAATTCAGTATACTGCCTTGGATTTAACCACTTGTAGGCCGCCTACCACAGTTTTATTGTGGTAGAGTGGCCCCACTGTGCCAGATGGACATGTACATGATCTTGCATTTCCGTGTAGAGGGCGTGTTCACCCACTGCCCCTTCTGTGCTGTCATTCGCTAAAGCACAAGCAGATCAGCAGGTCCCAGCCAATGGTTTATGGCTGGAACCTGCTGATTGGATTGACGAATTTAATTTTTTTTTTATATACTGTCATCAGTGCAGTACAGCATCATCAGGGATTTTTTCTTTTACATAGTGATTGCTTATAACAACAATTTCACTATTTTGCTGTTTGAAGTATAAAAGAACACTGTTTTGATTTCAGGGACACTTTTTGGTACATTATGAACCAGTTACTTAATCGAACAGTAGCACGTCAGTTGGTGTATCAAAAGGAGTAAGGCCAAATCTTAGCAGTCAGACAATAGAATTGTATTACCAATGTATGGCAAGGTCATAACTATAGACATAGCAGACAAGGCAACAACAATAAGGCACAAAGTTGTCTTGCTAGTCTGTGATATATGTATACAGGTACCAAAAGCATTTGACAATTACATTTGTATAAAAAGTAGTTTGGAAGACCTTGTTAACATTGCTAGGATAATAAATAGTATTTTGTATTACTAGAGGAATTGTCTTTGAGATGAACAGAAAGGGGTCTTAATTTTGCTATGGGGCTTAGTCACACATGGATACAGTTCTGATGTACAATATTTTTTCTATTTTCTTGCTTCACACTACAAGTTTATTTTTTTTTCTGTTGTCTTTATTTTTGTGCAAAATTATGCTGTGAGGCGGTATAGCAATCAGAATGTAATTAAAAAAAAAAAAAAAAAAAACCTATAACTCACCTTGTCATCTAATGGTTCAACATTTATGTAGGTATTGATCATGCTCTCAGAGCTATCAAATCTAATGAGGGCATTCCTAAGTGATACAGACAAATGTTCTTTGGTTATTGGTCTAATTTTGCAGACCTAATGAGTCAGCCATTAGAAAGACAGATTGTTTAGTGACACTGGTCTACATTAAAATTACTTCTCCATTCTTTGGTGTATCATTAAGTGGTATGCCGATGATTTTGGCACTGGCTTTTTCAGAAGCTTCAAGGTACATATGATAAATGCTAGAACATAATTTATAGAATCTCTTCTGTATCTTAGGTTAAAAGGAAAAACATGACATTACTCTAAAGTCCTAATTTACTAAGGTTATAAGCTTGCCTGCCAAGCTGTCAATCTGCAATACAGCAATACCTTATCTGGGAGTAAAAAATCCAAACATGATGCATATGTGCTTGCATGGGAAATACATGAACATTTCCAGCTTGACTCAAGTCCAAATCATTGTGGTTATTGTAATCTATTTCCAAAGGTCACAGCAACAGGCAAGCAGGGGTTTTAAAACTGAATTAAACTATTATTGCCATGCTTTTATAACATTTTAATTAAACTGTTCACTCATATGCTAACTCTCACTTGTCAGTAAAATGTTCCTTGCTTGCTCACAGATCCCTGCTCATGTGAATGAGCAAATGTGGCTTTGCTCAGTAAATGATCTTGCAGATGATTTTTGCTATGGATAATTTTTTAAAAAAAAATGTAGTCTCCAATCCAACTGATAAATGATTGCATTTGTTTTTTGAAAATCCAGTATAAAGGAAAAATAGAGGGAAAAAAATAAATTTTATCCAGCCTTTTGCATTTGTGCATTCATTCTTGAAGGCCTGCATTACTGGAGGTGTAGCAGGGGGTGTGTCTTTTTCCTACCTGCTATGTGCTCAAAGGTGTCCATCTTTCCACTAAGGCAGCAACACACAGTGACAAGTAAGTCAGCATTATTATTATTATTGTTCTTATTATTCATATTATTAATTTTTTTTAGGCTTAAACATATATATTGATATATTTTTTGTTCAATGAAATGTTTTTAGACCTAAACATTTACCAAACATTTGTTAAAACATTCAACGGTAATTCTATTAAAACACTGAAAAATATTTTTTTTAATTTTCTAAATTGTAAAACAAAAGGTCATGTTTGGTAACTCAGATATCTGCAATAGTATGTTCAAGTGGAGCCAACAGAGTCCTATTGGCCTCCAAGGGTGCGTTGGTAAATTCAGCTGCATGGTTGGTGTTTTCCAGTCTGGGATCTCAGGTAGGTCAGTACCCAGCTTATCTGAAGAGCAGAAAGATCAGCTGAGCTGAACAGCAGTAAGATCAGCTTGTGTGAGAAAGGTGCAGGAGTTCCAGACTTTTGGATGAATACCTTAGTAGAAAACCCCACCTGTATGTGTACTCCATGTTAATTCAACTAAATAAATAGGAATCAGAGAGACCTGCAGTGAGCTAGGGTGAGTCTGTGTAAAAACAAGATTAAAAAAAGCAAAATTCATTGAGTCCTTGCATCTGACTGCTTGAATTATGTCCTCTTTACCCAGATAAAAATAGACAGATGACATCTTGCAGTTCTCATAATGCCAGAGGCTACCATGCACAATCGGTTCTATCATTGGTGATGTTATGTTCTGAAGGTTTATCTAGCAACATGTTGCAGATGCCTTGTGAAGGTATGGGATTTTCAGCAGGAGTAGCTTCAGGTAATGCTTGGAATCTCAGATTGCTCCTGTGGTTCCTATTTTCTAAGTTCTCTAAATGTGAGCTCCTGTTAACAAACTTTTGTGAAATTTTGAATCTGATCATGGATCATTTAATGGTGTATCTGTGGTGTTACAGACTGGCACTCTGACATTGTGTAAAGAGGCAAATTAAACAGGTCCATCATGCAAACAAATTAACAAAGACAAAATCTCAGTCCAAGAAGTGGATGCTGACCATGGTCGATACCTAAACAAAAATTGTGCTATCCTTATGGAGACGAAAAAAGTAGATAGAAGCCTTTTCATGGAGAGGATCTCTGTTGAAGCTAATAGGTGTTGCACCATCCCCTCCCTCCTAGATTGTAAGCTTGAAAGAGCAGGGCCCTCAATTCCCTCATGTTTTGCATTGTATTGGTATTGTTCTGTCCCCCTTTGTAATGTACAGCGCTGAGCGAACTATTGGCGCTTTATAAATACTGTATAATAAGAATAATAATAATAATCCACATGCATACATGCACCAAACATGAAATTATATCTAATACTAGGCCCTCCTAAAAATGAGGGGTGAAACTGAGCCCCTTTCATATGGGGGCCCTTTTTCTTCAAAAAAGGAAAATGACTCCATTCTCCCCACCTATAGACATGGTTGTCCTAGCGGTACTGCACATTAATATGT